AAACTCTAAAAATTGTAGGTGCCACACCAAACAGTTGCTCTTAATGTCAGACTTCATTAATTTCTATTATTAAAACAACTGCATTATAGGACATTATGCTTCTCGAGTCCAGTGATATTTATAGAGCTGGTGCAGGCTTTTGATGGCTATTTAACCAGCCTATATATAGCAGTGTTTTATATAACTGTGTTATGAGTTAAATACTTTACTCTCATTTCCCTGTGTATAAGATAGAGCTTTCCAGGGTAAGAAAGGGGCGTAAGAAGTTTCTATCTTACATCGCGTTTCAAGTGACGTCACAATGGCTCAACAATGACGCGATGTCACGAATTTAGAAAAATCTGATGCTGCAATGCGGAAAAGGCGACATGATGAATATAAATCCTTTTACAATATATTGACTGTACAAGTAAGAAAGATGAGATCATTTTTTCTGTGCACTCTATGTTTGCAAATATGGGGTATACTTAATCTCGCTGACAGTAGCCAGTCCATATTTCTGGTAGTTGGAATGAGAGAAAATAGTCTAGGTAGCTAGGTGTAAGATAGGGAAATTCCTTCATTGCATAATAACAAAAGTTTAGTAAAGCATAAGTGCATGTCTCGGTTATTGTAGCGTAGCTAAAATCTGGATCAGTTTACAATGCATTTGAATAGGCCATACATATTCATGGACCAGCTTTAATAATATTGCTTTTTCACAAATATAGAATAGCTCAGTAAAAGCTCATTAGCTGTGAACAATTAATGTCTTCATTTGATTGTTTGTAAAGTCAGGAATCACCTGGATGGATCTAGAAATTTCAAAAGTGAGGGGATAATTATCTTTTTGGAAGTACATCCTATTGTTACTTCACCTGAATGATCGAGTATCGACAATATGCAATTAATTAGTGTATTTAGATCGTGTGTGATCATTTAGTTATTAATTAGACATTTTAGGCTATGCAATTTTACTGGTTTTCAGTAATATCTCTTGTACCAGTATGTGTTATTTTAATAGGAAAGGGGGGAAGTGGTCCATACCCTCAAAGCAACCCCCCCCTCCCCACCGCACCCTCCCCACTGCACTAGATCGACTCCTACATGTAGATATATACTAATTATTACACTTATTAGACTATAAGTACAAGTTTCATACAATCTGAATCACACAGTGACTATGTTATGACAAGACATCACTTTAACTTGTTCATAATCATTAAATTAAAAATACAATAATTGAACATTTGTAAATCTTAAGACATATATTCTTAATGATAGGATCCACTGGACAAACAATATGTTTTACATCTATCAACATAGACCATAGTCACAAAAATAAATAATATATCCTTCGTTTGGCAAGATCCCATAAGTGGGGCCTAGAAGTGAATCCAGCCACTGCAGCATATGGCAGTGTGTTAGACTAATTACCAAAAGTCTATGTAAGGCCTTTGATCTTTAATACTTGTAAGTAACAGCATAATTCCCCTGCCACACTGCTGGAGATTGGCAATACACACTATGGGAGTTTCACAGCTTGGCAATGATTTGTGGGAGCTTTTAAAGAAATCTTTTAAACATTTTGCCTGTCTAACATCGCATAATATATCTTGGGAGGTATTGGTGTTTGGGTGTTAAAATGACCATGGGACATTTAATTATGCTCTCGTAAAGGTGATTCTTTTATTTTGATTTATTACCAGGTATAAGTTGTAATTTTCAGTGTTATTCTAAGTTTATAAATGGAATGAATATCAGTACTGTTATCCAGACTTTGCTGTAAGTTCGATAGACACATCAAGATATTCAAATTTTCAAAGTTCAATTTATGGAAGTTTGACTGTAGCTTGAAAATGATAATTTCTTTGGTAGTAAAATTTCATGATTACTAGCCTGCAAGCAGACTTAGAAAAAATCTGCTTGAGCCTTACCTATATTTTCATGACAAGTGTTGAAAGTTTGAATGAATGAGTCACAAATTCAAGCCTGCAGAGTGGGGCTATAGTGGAATAGTATACCCTATGTCTGTACTGTATGTGCTATTAGGGTGTTGTCCTTGTGAATAAATTAACTACAATAAAACAATTAAATTCTTATCTGTCTTGGGTCAGAGATTTAATGGGCTTTTAATGACAGGTGAGGTCCATGGTGCAGTTGCAAGGTTTGTACAGTATACTGCACTTCCTCTATTAGCCTGGGTCACAACATTAGTAACAACCTCTACCTGTATGATGTCAGTTAATGTCTTCAGGAATATTAATGTATTACTCCACTCCTGCAGCAATGTTTGGGCAAGCTCCTGCAGGTCACTGTACAATGTACTAATATTATAAGCTATATAACTCAGTAACATTGGAAGAAAGTCCCAAACAATATTTATTAATATACATGTACAATTTGACTATGGAAAACAGATTGACGGATTTTGTTTGCCAGTCAAACACCTGCGCCCCTATTCATGAAGCTGCATATGTTCTCATGCTCAAGATTGGATTTTGCGCACAAGCCTAATTTATTGTTCATGTTATAAATCAATTAAAAAAATATTTGTCGAGGATTTGGAAATATTTTGAAGAGACTTATTAAAGACAAATACTGTTTTCAATGTTAATATTTGATTTCTTGATTGTTTGACGCAAATTAAGTGATTTACAAGAAAGTTGGTTTGAGCACAAAATCCGTGCTTGAGCATGAGAACATGTGCAGTTTCATGAATACCGGACCTGGACTGTAATGTTTTGCCTTAGATGCATCCTGCTACTATGACTTGTGTGTGGTGTCACATTATCTTGTTGGAAATTAATGGCAACTGCATTTAGGATTATTGATTTAGAACATATAAGACCTTATGATGTTTCTGCCACCAAAATGCATTGCCACTTTCAGGTACGTGTGCCAAAGCTCACCAACATTCACTGACAATTGCTGCACACATTGCTGCCTCCCATCACCATGGGTCATGTAAAAGCAAGTTTGATTTGAAAACAACATTAATCAATTGCTTTATAAAATTCATAAGTTTATTAAGCTATATTACTTGGTGGTTTGCTAGAGCCTGCCAACCTCTGGCTCACCCCCAATTCTTATTCATAAATGAAATGTCATTTTAGGATTGAGGATTTGAAGGTATTCCACAAGGAAATACAGCAACATGTTGTTTTTTCGTCGGAAAATACATGATTATTATATGAAGTGTATCTGGACTGGGTTGATCACCAACAACCAAGAAGCTTAATTAGCAGAGCCGCCATCTCTAGTTTGGTGGTCCCGGTGACACTTGGTATCTAACTAAAAATACCCACAGAAAGTGGTGTAGGGTCTTGTGTGTGTTCTGGGTCAAAGGATTTGTTAAAGGAGGGAGGAATGTAGTGGAACTGCTGATCATCGGTGACCACGCAAGTAGCTCAATTGGTTAGAGCAGCCGTCTATAGTTTGGAGGGTCCCATGTTCAGATCCTGGTACGGCTGTGCATTTTCCCTCTCCTGTTACATATATAAATGTATACGAGATTTTCACAACAGAGTAACAGATATAAGTGGTCCAACAAATTCCTAAGTGAGTTTCTATATGTAGGCATTATTGAGTGCATTATAGTTGCCAAGCATGTCACACCCTAGATACCAGGAAAGAAACAATCCTGCTGAGAGTGGGAGGGAGCTAGGGCAGTTACAGTAATTGGCAGGAGGCAGTGAAGTGCATTTCTACAGAGCTACTATTATGATACTTGTAGGGGAATATTTAATTGACACCAATTTAAATTAGATTCATCATTAGATTTAATTTAGAATTTGACATTACATGTTGTAATATTTATCTTTATCAGTACCAGTTAACCTTCCTAAACTTTGGCACCAAGGATAACTTTTGTATTCTTTTAGATATTAAAAAAACACATGCAGTGAACATGACTGCATCTTATCATTGCACTCATATGAAATGTACCAGTACTGATAGAGCTATATTTGTTCAATGGAAGTTTCCTGGCCCAACTATGCTACAGTGACATCCAAACGGAATTAAGTTAAGGGGAGGTCACTGTATATAGGAAAAACCACAGTGCAGTGGGACAGGGGTCCTTAAAGAATTACATGTTTTATCATATTACAGAATACATGTTTTCTTATATTACAGAATTCATGTTTTATCATATTACAGAATACATGTTTTATTATATTACAGAATACATGTTTTATCATATAACAGAATACATGTTTTATTATATTACAGAATGCATGTTTTATTATATTACATAATACATGTTTTATTATATTACAGAATTCATGTTTTATTATATTACAGAATTCATGTTTTATTATATTACAGAATACATGTTTTATTATATTTGAATTACAGAATTCATATTTCATTATATTACAGAATTCATGTTTTATTATATTACAGAATACATGTTTTATTATATTACAGAATTCATGTTTTATTATATTACAGAATACATGTTTTATTATATTACAGAATTCATGTTTTATTATATTACAGAATACATGTTTTATTATATTACAGAATACATGTTTTATTATAATTAAATTACAGAATTCATATTTTATTATATTACAGAATTCATGTTTTATTATATTACAGAATTCATGTTTTATTATATTACAGGATACACTTATTGTTTTATTATATTACAGAATACATGTTTTATTATATTACAGAATACATGTTTTATCATATAACAGAATACATGTTTTATTATATTACAGAATGCATGTTTTATTATATTACATAATACATGTTTTATTATATTACAGAATTCATGTTTTATTATATTACAAGGATACATGTTTTATCATATTACAGAATACATGTTTTTTTATATTACAGAATACATGTTTTATTATATTACAGAATTCATGTTTTATTATATTACAGAATATATGTTTAATATTTTATTACAGGATACATGTTTTATTATATTACAGAATTTGTGTTTTATCATATTACAGAATACCTGTTTTTTTATATTACAGAATTTGTGTTTTATTATATTACAGACCATGAGTACAGCAGCATTACAGTGTTTGAGTTCTACTGTGTGTGTCAGCCTTCCGGAGCCCATCCACCCCTGCGCCCTCCTGCCCCCCAGTGACCCAGACGTGGGCGTGTTTCCTGAGGTCTTCAATAGGATACAACTGATCAAACTCTCCAAACCTACATGGACAAACTACACAGGTGAGGGCACAATTCCATATAGCAATATTCTGGTATGGCTTACAGCAGTAATACATATTTCAGCTTTGTATGAGGGTTAATATTGTAACTGAGGTGACTTTAATTCACAGTATATGAAGGGCTTCAACAAGGAGTTGAATTTGGACCATAGTTATTTACTACTGCTGTCCGCATTCTGTACTATATCAAGTGATAAAACGTAGATGCAGGGTTCACCACTGGGACATGTATATATAGGTACCAAAGTTACATATATATACAGGTACGAAAGTTACATATATATACAGGTACCAAAGTTATATATATACAGGTCCCAAAGTTACATATATATACAGGTACCAAAGTTCCATATATACAGGTACCAAAGTTACATATATATATATATATACAGGTACCAAAGTTTCAATGCATAGCACATGGTCTCCATTTTGAGCAAAATCTGAATGCAAGTTCAGGGGTTTCAATAATATTTCAAGTTGCATGTATCCAACACATACTTGGTTGATTTCAGTACATTTCATTTTACCCATTACAATCTTTGAATTTTTTCATGAAAATAGCTTGTGAAATATCTGTAGTAGGTTTGTGTTAATACCAGCTACTGGCTACATTAGGTAAAACACCTGCAAAGTTATAGTATGAATATTATTTGATATACGTACGCGTGTACTAGCTGTTTTGTTCCAATAACTGCAAATAAGTTTGTACATTGTACAATTTATTTAATCTACATGTAATGCTTTATTCCAATAACAATTTGTACAATTGAAAATTGAACCGTTATACTTGTACAGTTGAATTTCATTTTATATCCATTCATTATTGGATTGATTGTAAGAATATTGAGGTCACTCTAACCTGGCATCAGATTTGCCCTTTCAAAAAGTGACCAATGCACCAATATTACTAGCTCCAGCACACTCACAAATATACATTAAACTTATGAAGGCACGTCCTTAAATGACCTTAGCTATTTAAAGGAGGTTAAACCATGTTTATAAACCAAATCATCCTAACATATGAGACCCTAATCATTCCTGATGGTACAGATTAATGGTACCCTGATCCTGGCTTTAGAAATAGAGGTGTATGGCCTTCACCTTACACTGTGGGTGATTCTGGGGCTACTGGTGTTTTCGTTTGGTCAGAGGGATCATAGGGTAAGCTGATCCAAATGAAGTGATCTCCAGCTAGGACAGATACTTCTGAAGTACTGTTGGGAGGTTGGGGGTAAAAAGTAATTGGCCTGTCAGATTTAAAGATTTGCGCCCTATTTAATGTCTGGTTTATACCTGAAGTTGGGAGGCTGGAGGCAGGGCACCTATTAGTACAGCAGTGCCCTGTCCTATACAGAACAGGAACAACCTGTCAGAAGTTCTGTCTAAATGTGTTAAAAGATTTAAATAAATACAAAACTAGGTCTTCAGTTTGTGATAATTAACCTTAAAATACCCATAATCACAAAAAATGTTTTTGAATTATTATATGAACCAGAAATAAAGTTCTCAGTCTTAATTTAAAGAGTAAAGGCAATATTTGGTTATATTCATCTTTGTGTTCAGATTTTGATCCGTTTTGATAACTAGCGAAATGGGAATCGGTAAACTATATGGGGTTATATGTAATTATTTGTGGTCAGACAAAAAATTGATGCATTATTGCTCTGAAGTAATTATAAGTTTCCTCTAGTTAGAAGAGTGTAACCAAAAATAAAAAAGGTTTTCAACCCTCAAGTTTTTAATAGTGTTACTGTATTGTTCTAGGACTTATCAAAATTTAAGTCTTTAAAGGTGACAACCGACAGGTATCAAGGCAGATACAGGGAAATTATCTTTTATAAGCTTTGGTCATACATTTTAGGCCAGAGGGCCTATATTTTTAAGGCTAGAGGCCATATATTTCAATAGACAAGTCCATTACTGACAGTTATTCAAGTTTAATGAATGTACATGTTACATGCAATTAAGGATCCCAGTACCTGCACTGCAAAAAATGGAACAATGCATTCAAAACTCGTTTTTTCCAACATGACTAAGCTTTGATCATCAAGAAAAGAGAAGTATACCTTGCGAGACTTTCATGAAATCAATGGAGATGAAATAAACAAAATATGATAAACAAATGTGTTCTGAGTGTAAAATATTCTGCCGGGACCAGGATTCAAACCCTGAACTTCAGATTGTTATACCATCACCGAAACCCATTGAGCTACCTAGGCCTGCATGGACAACAGAAATGTACAGGCCCAAAATTAAATGTGCTAGTTATATCCATGCAAACAGAAGTTAAAGGGAGGTTACTGTATATAAGGAAAACGGCAGTGCAGTGGGACAGGGTCCTTAACTGGAACAGTAAGTGTTATTACTTGACTCTCTATTTAAGTGTACTGTATATGAAGTATTTTTGACTGTATTAATAAAAATTCCCTGGAAAAGACTGAAAACCCGTAAAATAATGTCAGTGTGCAACAGTCGACTGTTGCACACTTACTGTTGCATGCGCGACAATCGTGCACAGACAATTTCCCCATCTGCAGCCCCACTCAAGCATCTTTTTGATACAGATTTGATTGTTGTCGTCTGGTGAAAATGGTGAATAATGGTAGATTTGAGGATGTTTCTGAGCAAGAATTGGAATTGCTGATGGAAAATAGGGACTCTCTTAATTAGTACAAAAAACGTCATTAAGGGAGCTGTGAATATTTTGTATAAATATTGTGCAGAGAAAGGTGTTATGATCGACGAAAACTGCAGTAATGAAGAACTGAACGAGTTTTTGTGTAGTTTTACGTAGCATTGATAACCAAGGAAGGAAATCTTTATACCAGGAAATCATTTCTGTCAATAAGGAATGGATTACAAAAACATTTTAATCGATCTATCCTGCCATACAGTCATTTATTCTAACTCACACAATTCAGGAAGTTTCTTAATAGAGAGTCAGGTAATAAATCATTTGTTTCATTGGTACTGGGGGAACGGTCAAATCCTTGACCCTCGGTAGCAGGGAAGACCTAGGGAACTGTTGCCCTCAGCCTTGGGCGTTGGGTAACAGTTCCCTAGGTCTTCCCCGCTACTGAGGGTCAATGATTTGACTGTTTTCCCAGTACAGATGAAACAATTGTATACTGTAGATCAGGGTGTACGATTCCACTTGTCTGATGCCTTTAGTTATCAGCCTATTATTAGTGCCCCATCGGTTCCGGGTGTTTGGGAGGGGGGGGGACTATAGGTTTGCACTCCGCCCTTTCGTACTTCCTTCTGTCCTTCCATCCAAGAAGTTTATCTGGGACATATTTTCTATACTATTTCACCTGGAGTAACCAAATTTGGTGTACAAGGACATCTTCGGATGGCGGAGTACAAGAAGTAGGTCACTATATCCTCACTGTGACCTATGCTTCAATATAGAAATCATTACCGATTGGGGACTATGGATAATTGCCTTGCAATACGTATACTCTGCCTTATATATTTTTTACTTAGAATTATATGTTTTCATAATGAAAATATTGATCTTGTATTGTATACCCCCTCCCCCCACATCCTTTATCAATTTCTTAGGTAAATTAAATGTTACAGGTTTTTTTTCTCTTCTTTCTTTTTAGAAAGATGTTTGGGTGGAGGAACTACATTAGGTAAGTGCATGATCCTTAGTGTGAATTGGTTCTTGACATTAAAGCTTTGATTCACTTTATGATTATGAAAGTTAAATACGTGGTATATGTACTCAATAATGCAGTAATGTGAGGTGTAAACAAGTTTATGGAAAATACAGATATTAAACATTCAACATATATGTATATCTCAAATTCTCCCTCTCTCATTATCTATTTCTGAGATTAAATCACCTTTGGAACAAATTTACACAAACAAAAAATCAAACTTATTTTCTATCAATTAAGATTCACCACAGCAAGACAGTTGCAGCTATAGAAATATCGATAAAATTGAACATTTATTAATGTTTGATGAATCAATTTGACCAAAGAATTCACAGGTAATTGTATACTGTATAAAATGCTATTTCTTAAATAACAAAAAATACATTTATGCTGCAAAAGAATTGTTGTGGAACATTGATACAGTAAAATCTTGTTATACTGCCACCATTTATCCAGAGATTTTTTTGGCATTATAAAGGGATTTGGCAATGTATTGAGGGAGAAATATTCAAAGGAACTTTAAGAAATTGAGAGAAAGTGACACTGAATTACGTTGGTGGAAATGAAACGAGGGGCATTTTGTCAAGGTTTTGCTGTATTGAGATTACTCAACTGAGTTAGAGATAGTGAGAGATAGATTTAGAGACTTACATGTACCTTCACATAAGTGACACCTAAAGTATAATAATAGTTTTATTAATGAAACTCTAGAAAGTGGGAGACAGAGGGTTGAAGCTATTAATGAATATGAGGAGAGGTGATTGAGAAAAAGAGATTGAGGAGAAAAAGAGTTGTATAATAGTCATTATTTTGAGTCTATTATAGAACCATTATTTTGAGTCTATTATAGAACCATTATTTTGAGTCTATCATAGAACCATTATTTTGTGTTATGAGAGGCATTTCTATTATAGAGCTATTGCTTTGTGTTGTTAGATTTGTTCTGGATGTTAGAGAGAAAACAGCTCCATACACGAATAGCCAGTGTTTTGAGTGGTATGATTAAGTAACACACTTGTCAGTCTGAGGCTGAGGAGGAGAGTATAGGGGTGATGAAAGCTGCCAACACCAGATGGCCTGGCTCTGACTAGCATGTGGTATCTCCGAAACATCTGCTGCCCAGAATTGCTGTTTTCCTTTTAAGACTGCTCATCTTATTAAATACAATCATTTTATCTTAGATATGAATATTATAGAAAAAATTGCTATTGTTTACACCATATTGGCACCCTGCCACATCTTAGTATAAACCGTTATTAGGATGTACAGCAGAAATATATATGGCCAGCTAGCATACATCAATGTGCAGGCCAGGGGAGTTTACACATGGTTGCTATGTTCAACTATGAAGTAGAGCATTTCTAGGTCACCTGAGCAAATCACCTGAGCTTTGCTGGGTAAAAGCATCAAAATATGCAATGCAAGAGAAATATAGATTATAAATAAAATCTTGAGAGTATAGTCCCCAGATATGTAATCCCCCCCCCCCCCCCCTCCAACACCATTCTGTTGTGGACCCCACATAAGGCCATGATTTTTCTAGAAATGCTTTTCTCTACTTTAAAAAAAAACCTGTTAATATATACTGCTGTCCCCCTCATATCGTCATCTGCCAACAATTTTCAACTACAAATCTATTTTTTTCCCCCTGACCATATCCCATTTTTTATGCCAATTACTTTAGGTTTGCACTCCGTCCTCCTGTCCTTCCGTCCGTCTGTCAAAGAAGTTTGCCCGGGACATATCTTCTATACTATTTCACCTGGAGTAACCAGATTTAATATACAAGAACATCTTGGGATGGCGGAGTGCAGAGTGCAAGAATTAGGTCACAGTGACCTATGATTGAAATTTGTCCTTAACTTTTGAAAATGTTTGTCCCAGGCATTTCTTTTGTACTATTTCCCCTGGAGTAACCAGATTTTGTGTTCAAGGACGTAAGAAGTAAGTCACTATATCCTCACTGTGACCTATGCTTCATTACATAAGTGTACTGTTTGTTAAATATGGAAATCGTTACCATTAAGAGTCTATGGTTGCCTTGCAATACTCTTCCTTGCTGTTCATAATTGTTTTAATGCTTTAAAAGCTATATGTGGTGTATATTCCACTGTCCTACTTATACCACCAAAATTAGCAAGGGTCAAAAGGAGGCTGTGAGTGACGGGGGACTGCTGTGCTAGAAATTGAATGAAACTAGTAATTGAAGATGAACTTACTCATCGATTGACATTTGACTCGTACACATTTTGTACAAAGAAGCATTATAACAATTAACGTTCATGTACATGTATACACATACATTTTGTTTACATAATTAATAGAAAAAATTGTGGGAAAGAGAAGTATACAATATTTAGTTGGATTTGTTCTGGTGATCAATGCAGTAATATTGTGTACGGTCAGGTGGGCTGGGAAACCTTAAGTTATAATATTTCCCTAGCTAATCATATACACAGAATCAACATCTGGAGCTGTTCTCTGTCTAGTGTCACAGGTGCCAGAAACGTAAGATTGATTAAAACAATGATAGAAGTACATGTCATTATTCAGCCCTACCCATTTCTGTGATTCTGAATTTAGGTCTGATGTACAGGTATTTAATTACTAACAAAAAATATTTTACTGTTTCTTTACTTTAGAGTAACCAATCATCCTTTTTTTAATTCAGACTTATTTGTCTGTAATGCTGACTAAAAAGAATGACTCACATGATAAATGTACCAAATGATTTAATTGGGGATTGTATCACCCGTCACCATGCAGAGACCCAGTCGAATCAGTTGGATGGAGCTGTTGGCATACGTGATCAACAAGTTTCAAGAGACTCTGGGTGTGGGGTTTTAAAATTCTTGTGGACTATTAGTGTGCTAGATCGTGCAGTTGTAAATTAAGTCATCCGAAGCCACACCAAGAGGGTATACTTTAGCTGTAGTGCATTACTGCAGATGCTGTTTTTATGTTGTTTTTTGTCTTGAGTTCTACTAGATAGACCAACTTTATGTGGGTGAATTCAGATAACCTCATGACTTATATATCTTCAACGCCTAGTTCTTTAAAAAAAAAGAAGAGTTTCAATCAAATTCATATCAAGGACGCAATTAACATGAATTGATGATGACATATATATTTGTTATAAAATATCTGAATACTTTTATGACAAATTTCATATATATACATTTTCTTGGCTGTTCTCTAAATGTGGCTTTTCTTTCTGACATTTTTACTGAAGGAAATAGTTTTTTTTTAACTAATTGAGTTTTGAAATAATTGTTGTATAATTTTGTAAAATTGACTGAAAACAAATCCAGTGACCCTTCTACAATGCAATTATACTGCAATGTGAAGCTGGTTATACACCCAATTTGTATGAAATAAGTTTGTAATTTATTGGCACAGTCTGAGGATAGAATGCTGCAGACAGATTTAAGCTGTATGTTAACAATTTAGAGATATTTCTTTATCTTGGCTAAAGGGGAAGAAGGAATTACACTACGTCACCAACTGTGGTTTGCTAATTGTGGTTATAAGGAGGGGTCTAAAGACTATCATTTGGGAAAGGTTATACCCAAAACTTCCTTTGATGGTGAATTAAGACATGAGCGTGACTTTTTGTAGAAATCACCAGTACTCAAAAAATAACAGCTGCTGGTAAGTGTCCCCCCACCTAGTGGTGATTTACTAGAGATATATAGCTGCTCCCCTTCCACTGCCTATATACAATGAACATGTATGTCATTACGATGGTTTCCAATACCTGTATATGTAAATATAGATTGTATTTACCTTCAGTAAAAATCCAGCTGACGTGTATACAGTATATACTGATATATTGGACTGTAGTTTGTATATATATAAATTTGCATCACATTATATATTCCAGTTCCAGGCAGCACGTGGTGTCTTCTTATATCTGTTGTTATATTTGCGTAATAATATAATATATATATATGTACTTGATACAGTTTTGAATAGTTAAATAAATAAGAAAGGAAACATTATATGTGCTAGTACAGTATAATCAGGATCTTAATGATGAATTGACCTATCCTGTATTAAAAATGTACTCTTCGACCGGCGGGCCATTCCTGTGAAAGTGGTCGGCACCATATGGTTAATTAGCAACAACTCGTGCAGAGTCAAAGCACTCTAGGGGTAATATTTACTTCTACCAGCTGTCTCAGTTATCATTAGGATTAATATCGTATCTGATGTACCTCATCAACCTGTTGGCAAGAGTTGGTCTATACCAGTGTTTATTTAAGTTGAAAGACTAATACTGATCTACCAGGTATTTTATAATATAACCTGCATTTGAATTATCTTTCAACTTGATAAAGAAGTTTCTGATTAATCATCCACACAACTTTTTAATTAATATGCAACTAGAAAATATTGAGCAAAAACATTCTATAACAAAACAGTAAATGGGTATTAGGTATATATATATACTTTTACACTACTATTACCTTCTTTTCTGAGTGTATTGCTTTCCTATTTATCCTCAGAATCACTGCATTGGATCAGACTTATTGTAAATATCAATAGTTCTGGGATCATGTGTTGATAAATGGTAACATTTTATTCAAATAGGGGAAACATCTAGAGATGACTGTACGTATGACCCATATTCTGTATTCATCTGTGTGTTCTGTTGAAAAAAAATTGTAACAAAGACTGTAGAAAACTCATTTTACAAATTTCATTGAATTGTCAAAATTCATAATGATCTACCTTCCCATGTTTATACACAAACATGTATTCTGTATCATTTCTTCAAAAACAACTATATATCCTTTGTTAGAACAACCTGTCTCATCCCTTTACATCTTTTGTAATTCAGGTTTTGATTATTTACAAATGGTATCTGTTTAGGGTCAAAGAAATTTTGATTTTAATGTTTGATATTACAAAATCCTCGAAAGTAATTAAAAGGAAAAATGCCTGAGTGTGTGTGACTTTAACATGTAGAGTTACCTCCCTTTTGTAAAATCATTTTGATCCATTCAGCTTGTCAGTTTTAATGATAACATGCTGCTGTATTTATCAATTAAAAAATATTTTTTAGCTCACCTGGCCCTTACTGCAGCGTCCGTCGTCTGTCCGTCCATCATCCTTCCGTCAACTTTTTAGCTCACCCGGCCCGAAGGGCCACGTGAGCTTATGCCGTACTGCGGCGTCCGGCATCTGTCAATTTTTTCTTTTGAACGACTTCTTCTGAAGAACTGGAGGACCTAGGGTCATGATATTTTGCCAGTAGGTACCTGGGATGGAGTGCTATAAAGTTGCCTCATTAAAATGACCTTGACCTACTTTCAAGGTCACAGGGGTCAAATATGTTAAAAACTTCAAACAACAATATCCATTTGGTCTAGTGTCATGATACTTGGGTATGATATGTAAACCAGCAGTGCTAATCTTTTTCTTAATTACAGTAATGAGGTTAAAGGTCAACTTTAAGTGCTAGTCGGGGGTCAAACGTAGACATGGGTTAAAAGCTTTAACAATATTCTTCTCAAGTTCCCTTAGGCTCAGAGTCATACTAATTGGCCAGAAGGTACCTGGGATGGAGTGCTATAAAGTTTCCTCATTAGAATAACATTGACCTACTTTCAAGGTCACAAGGGGGCAAATATGTTAAAAACTTCAAACAACAATATCCTTGAAGACCCATTTGGACTAAAGTCATGATACTTGAGTATGTTATGTAGACCAGCTGTGAATCAGTTTCTTTATTTCAGTAATGAGGTCAAAGGTCAACTTTTAAGTGCTAGCTGGAGTCAAAGGCCAACGTGGGTTAAAAGCTTCAAAATTAAAATATGAAATATCTAACAACAATATCTTAAGCGTTTAAGAGATGTTAAAATGTCTTGTGTTCTAGTTACCAAATTTGGTCTGAAGTTACCTATATGTCAGTTTCATGTATCCAAAGAAACAGGTGAGCGATACAGGCCCTCTGGGTCTCTTGTTAAAATGTCAAAATTTGTTGAATTATACTAGCAAGATCCTTGTAAAACATAGTAGTGATTATGACATTTTATAATCACTTATATTTTGTAAATCTCAAAACCTGAAATGCAGAACAAAAGATACAGTTCACTACATAATCACCCTTTGCACTGAATGCCAGTATATACCATCTTCTATAGTTTCCTCTTTGTAACTATAGATAATGCATCATTTTGAAACTATTTCTCTTCCATATGGTAAAGCTGTCACCACAGATCCTATAACCACGACCGAGGCGGAGACCACCAGTGTGTTTCACACAGTAACCCACACCCTTACAGAGGCTGTGACCAATATGACCAATGTCACAGCTGACCGAGGCGCCAGCACCACAGGTCGAACAATTTCTCTGGATATTATATGATTGTTGGTGTTTGTGACCATTTTATTGACTAATATAATTAGATGGCTAGGAACAGGTCCGCACCAGTTATCATGACGGCCAGTCATCATTAATGATATTGTATTTCCAGACATGCTTGATAAATGTTGCATTGATTACAAAAAATATAGAACAGTGTTCGAAGAATCAATGAGTAACTGAAACATTTATCAAGCTGCCGTTGCAGTGCCATTAATGATAATAATATGCCATGATCACTCCGGTTCAGACCCATGCAGTGTTGATATTTTTGCTGGTGATGGAATTTATTTTACTTTGGGAGCATGTCATTTTTATTCAGAATCAAGAAGTTTTGATTGTTGCTTGTTGCATGATTCCTGTTCTGTTTCTGAGTTAAGGCAACTTGTGTTAGTTTGTTTTGAAATAGTTGCAAGATTTGTACAAGTCTGTTAACTATTCCAGTGTTACATGAGGTACCCTCATGATCTTGCCTGGTGTATAGTAAATACAACAGGCATTTGTTTTCACCGATTAGTGGGTCAGACAGGTCTCGATCGGCATCCTATACTTACCCTTTAAATGTAGGCTAGCTAGAGTTTTTGCCAAGTGCCAATCTTTCAGAAGAATGAAAATTGGCAGCAATTTATAGAAACGGAATACAAGAAGATGTACCTGATGTAGATAACGATTGTACAGAACCGTGTGTGCTACTGTAAGGGTAAAACATGATTTTGGATATATTGATCAAATAGTGGATTCTCCCTTACTCTTAATTCTCTAGCCATGTTAACCCATGGCCTGCCAGACAACATTCCAGGGATAATTTCTGCGTTGATCATGTTATAATTGGAATGTCTGCCCCAGATAATGTTAATATTACCCAGAGGGATCATGAACCATTCTTAAACTATATTCAGAACACTACCGTAATCGGCACTGAAATGCTTGTCTGATTTGGCAGTACGTTTTCAACTTGTGATTGACAATTGTAAACACACACATGGTGACTTTATAGGTCTAAAGTTGGACTGGTATTCAAGGAAATGTCTTAACTGTATTGAAAATATTAGTATAAATTCAAAATCTGTATCATATTATCATGATCTGTTAAGTGTGTAGAATAAGGCTACATTTTAATACATTAAATATTGAGCAAAGGGCAAAACTGACTTAAACAAGAGGCAGGGATCCTGTAATGTCAGTTGTTGTATTCACTGCATAGTAGTACATTGTATCTATAGCATAAATCTGTGAAAAGTGAGTTGCATGGTGTACATTGTATTTTCAAATCGTTTTGATTAATCTACAAGAGTATAAGAACTTGATGACCATAGCAATTTGGTTACATTTGATATGTTAAAATTCAATTCCATTAAAACTTTGTAGAAACAGCCACCCAAACAACCACTGTTACTGGTAAGTGTGGTCACCCAGTGGTGATTCAGTGACAAATTAATACCTGAAAGCTTATTCTTAAGATCTGTTTTTAAAATACTTTTAGTGTCAGTTATGAGATGAAAACTTGCTGCTTGTAACTCAGTATATTTAATTCCAGCTTTCTGTCTATCTGTTTCATCTGTATCAGAATTAACTGCCTTGCTTGTTTACCTAAATGTATATGGAACCTATAGCTACAAAGTTGATGATGACTTTGTGTTCTACAGTTCTATGATAATCTTGGTAAGGTGTCCTTTCTAAGAGCTTTCTATGGTAGGGAGCTTAAGGAGATATTGACAGCAACTCTGAAAATGATGTTCATATCAGGAATCAAAGGGAAGGATCGATCAGATTGTGAGCCTCAACCAGGTGCCTGCAGTACATGTATATCCTAATCAACTGTTTTGGACAGTATAACCACAATCAGCAATGTTCATAACATGCATTTGTCCTTTCTGAGGGATGATTAATTGGTGTCAGAACATTTTTCATTTCAGGACCGGTTACATGTTTTTTGCTTAAACAAATAAAATGTTCCACTAAAAAAAAGAAGATTATTTGGAAAAATAGCTTTCAATTGAGCAATCATTAAAACTTTTAAGACAGAAAATATATTTATTGTGTTTGGGGTAGGTTTATACTGGTAAATATTTGAGGCATACACTTTTCATGGAGAGTTAAAATGAAGTTTCATTTATACTGATGTATATAGTGTCGTAATTTTACGATCAATAATATACATCCATATAACAGTCGTTATGTGTCTCGCTGATTTCTCACGAATTCAGAGAAAATATATAACTATTTTTTACCAAGACTCCCTAAAAAATCCAACTGATCTCATTATTTTACACCGTAAAGTTACGGCATGTATGAAGTTAGGGACTTGAAAATTATCCAGAACTGAATGGTTAAAGTTTTTTTTTATTGATTTACCTGTAATAATTTAATTCAATTCAGCTCTATGGCATTTGCATTTAAACAAAGTAGCATTTTATGGATCGAACAGCAAATTAATATGTAGTTTACATGTAGATAATTTAAAGCATGCATGTTCCTAATCTTGGGGATGTTGCATTTCAATGTTTGTCGAAGTGTAGACCAATGTGTAGTGTTTAAATGTTATTGTTTTTTGTTACAATATTACAAGACTCTTTCATGACCAGGAGTGTAGGATAGGGAAATTCCATCCAGAGGGTGATCATGAAAATGCGGTTGGACTGGCTACCATTTGGAAAATATAAATCCCCCCTGAGCTTTTTAGGCAAAAAGGAATCAGTCAGCCAGATTAAACATACCCTATATTTGCAAACAGTATTTGCGCTGTAAAATTAATCTCATCTTTCAAATTTGTACGGTAAATATATTGTAAAAGGTTTTAATTTCATCATGTCGCCTATTCCTCATTGCGGCATAGGAGTTTTCTGAATTCGTGATGTCATGTCATTGTAATGAGCCAGTTGACATTGTGATGTCACATCATGTAAAATAGGTTGTAGGATGGACATTTCCTACACCCCTTTCTTACCCTGGACAGCTCTATCTTACACACAGGGAAATGAGAGAAAAGGGTATCTTATGATTCAAAATGAGATAGTTTGGTATGATTGTGGATGTACAGTATGTCCTGCACTTGTTCTGAAGTGATGTATGATAGTGCAGTGACTTGCAGTTGATGTGTAAGTTGCATGTCATTGTAGAGGGCCGAGATGCTTCACAGTGTCAACATTGTCATCTTAAGTGCAATTATATTATTCACTTTGTCATTAACATTCTGATGTCCTATTATATTACAAGCTTTCAGAAAAAGTTAGTATGTACGCTAGTAATTGTATCTGCAGTATGTGGTTTTCTTTGTTGTTTGTATTGCAGTTATGCTAAACCATATAAACAATGCCCCTAAGGATTGTAAACAATGATTGTAAACAATGGCCCATCTGATGCCTGGGGTGAGGTCAGCTTCCCTTTTTGTATGACAGGAAAATGGGTTGAGCTAGGTTATCAGCTGTCGACAACTAATTACATATTCTGTTAAATGTTGTGTATATACACAGAGCATTCTAACATTGTGGTTGTGTGGAGGATGTATTTAAGACACCAAAACAGAAAATATTAAGTAACTAATTAATATTTAACTGCTACTGGCCAACTTCATAATTAACCAACTTGTCTAATCACTTAACATGTGAACATATGCATGTATGTATATATATATTTGTGATGGAAAACTTTTGACTTCTGTTGTGTCAGTCATGTTTTTATGCAGTGAAACTTGGTTATATTGCCACCATTTGTCTAGTGAACGTTTGATGTTAAATAGAATTCTGCAAAACATGTGTATATAAGGAGGGAGAGATATAAGTATTAAAGGAAATGTTAGGGAAACAGGAAAAAAGGGCCTTGAAATATATTAGTGTAACGTAGAACGAAAAATGAATAAGGGGCATTATTATATGCAGCAAGGTTTTATTTTAATACATTTAACAATGCAATATTACATTGTACTTGTACATAATTTGTAGCTGTTTTTGTGGAAATGTAAGATTTCAATTGATCATAAATATAACATGACGTAAATTTAAAAATGTTGAAAATTGGCAATTTTTTTTATAAGGTACAGTGTATTTATGATAAAGCTCAATAAGCTGTTAACATTACGTCTTGATGGGTTGTACAGAATAGTAATAGCTGTTGTGATAGTTTGTGTACTCACTGTGTAATTATCAAGTGATCAAGCAATTTTAACAGTTTTTGAATATTTCCATTGCATACGAAGAAATTTAAACCTAAATTAACTGAGGCACAAAGGGAGCCTAAAATCTAATCAATGATGTTAAAATATATTTTCATTATTGCAGATAGCGATGCAACCAATGACTGGGTCATCCCAGTGATAGTCGTTGTCATCATCGTCATCATCCTCCTCCTCGCCATAGTTGCCATCATCTGCAAAACATGTCACCATGCCAAAAGGTGAGTTATCTAACATTTTATAATTTGTTAACTCTATCAGAATTGAGCGCCCAACATCATGAACAACACTGCGTTAGTGCTATCTCTTCAGCAGAACTATCTGATCATCAGTTCAATATATACTCTATGCTTTAACCTACTTGTGCTTGAACTTAAATTTAACTGTGAAACCTGTGAAACCTGTGAAAATATATTAATAGCAGCAATTGATGTAGAGGGTCCCATATGTTCCATGCTTGCCAACCTTTTAAAATTTGAATGGAGGAGATTCCGCATGCTCAGAATTTGTGAATGCACTTGTGTATTGCTTAATCTTTATGATGTAACAATTAATTTCATTGGGTAATGAAAAAATGCACACATAATGTAACCAGGATTTAATCTACTCACATGTATAAGGGTCAATTTATTATATATGACTTTATCACAATGGCCTTTGACTGACCTTGACCTTTGTATACACTCAAACATATTCCTTTCCAATATCACATATGAAGGATCATCAACATATATGTTAATCTGGTTATGGATTTTAAATCATTCATATTACCAAGATGGATATTTTCAAAATAAACATTTTCATAAAGTGACCATTTTGATGATATTTTTAGATAAGTCAATTTTCTGGTGAATTGAGTCCATATTTTTTCACCAGCTTTAACCACTAATACACTGGAATCATTCTGTTTACAAGTGATTAACCCAAGTTGATTCTGTATTCCATCTGTTATGTAACTGTAACCATAATATGCTGTATGTATGATGTAATTCAATATGAATCATTGAGTGAACAGAAGTCTGACCGCTATATCAAGCTATAATGGTATCACATTAGGAAGGTTTAGTCGTGAAGGAAATCAAACAGAATGTTGTCATACAGTGAAATTAATAGATCCGTCCACCAGGCACATGTGAGCTACACACACCTATTTTATAATTAGAACCAGAGTATATTAAGATACATGATACACATAAATTTGTTTTAATTAAAGGCGGTGAAGATTAGATCCCTGTGTAAGCTTTATAATCTCCACACAAAGTTCTGTTAAGCAGCTGCAAGTGTGGGGCATGGTCTAAAGTAAGGGTCATTCATAGGTGTCAGCCTCTGGAACCTCCAATGAGGGAGATGTCCCTCTAGATCTTTCCACATTTCCAAGGAGGGAAAAGTGCTTGAAATGCGACTGAAACTGCTTTGCTCATATCATCTTTCCCTTTTTATGTATCAGAATAACTTGAAAAAGCATTAATTTGATTCAGACACACCTGTTATGATCATAACACACACCCTGCAGTAACTAGATCATTTGACCACAGGATGTAGATTTTGAGCTTGTGTGAGTTTAGACTTGATTGAGGGAGTTTCGATAGAGATATAGGTAAATTTTGGTCAAAATGACGGAGTCGCCATCCTAATGAGGGAGGTTTGACAGCTATTAGGATTTATTCATTAGGAATTGTAATGGACACATGCTTTAAGCCTCTGTATCCATATCAAAATGAGGGAGTCTCCATTCTAATGAGGGAGGT